CATGTCTGTGGCCGGCCCCTCCCCTCCCCGTGCGGGGAGGAGGGAAGGCAGGGCCTCCAGGAGGGTGAAAGCTGGTGGGCGAGGGTGACGCCAGGCGCCTCCCAGCTCCTGATCACTTTGCTCCCTCAAGGCTCCGAGTGACGGGGACATCGGAGGTGACCCCTGGCACAGAGCTGTCGGCTGCCGGTGGTTTCCACAGGGGCGGATGGATCCCAATGCACCACCAGCCAAGGTCGTGCACGCACCCGGCTTGGTCTAGCCAGGGCCCCAGGGGCAGCAGGACTGTGCACACCCCCGGCCACTGGGCGCCCACACGTCCCCGAGGGTCTGGGGGCGGAGCACATGTACCTCAGGGGCTCCCGTCCGTGCAGCCCAGGACTCACAGCCCAGAGACGCCGTCCAGGGTGCGCGAGACGCAGGGCCCCGCAGGGCCCCGCAGACCAAACGGCGCACGGCAGTGGCGTAAGGACCAGGCCAGGTCCACCTGTGCGGAGATGAGGAGAGCTGCAAAGCCGTGCTTGGTGCAGGAGAAATTCTGTGGGAAGTCAAAGGCGTTCCTGGGAGCGCAAGGGCGTTTGCAGACGGAGAGGGATGGGGGCTGAGGGGCGATCTTGATGCGTCCTCATTCCGGCAAACACCATTTTCAGGAAGGAATCTCTCACTCAATGGATCAGCAAATATTAGCTCGGCATGTGGCACTCGGGCCGCTGCCTGCAGAACAGGCCCTGCCATGCTCAGCTGCCCCTTGGACTCCTGCCCCAGTGCTCCTCACGTGACCCTCCCTCTGGGGTCCTCCTGAGGGCTCTGCCACCAGTCCCAGCTGGAGGCAGGACTGCACATCCACAGGACACCTGGGGGTTCCAGCTCCCCCTGGACCTGCCCTCAGCCCCACCAGCAACCCCAGACACTGCCCCTCCCCTCCCTGTGCACGCTGGAACAGGTTCGCAAGGGCAGGCGCCTGGCAGCAGTGGGGCTTCCCGCAGCACAGCCGAGGAGCATCCGTGGGCGGTGCAGATGTGGCTCGGTGCTCAGAGGGGGCACTCCATTGAAAGACAAACTCTTAAACTAAGGGATCATTTCCACAAGGCTTAACAATTCTGGCTTCAGTAGAAAAGTCATTTTCCAAATTAATCTGTCTTATTGTTGAAAATCTTTATGTAGGGAATGTCTGGGTGCACCAGCACCAAGCCGCCACGGCACCCCAACGGGCACGGCATGGAGCGGGAGAGGCCGTGCCCGCCGCCCTGCGCCCTGGGCGTGTTCCCGCCACTCAGTGGTGCGGCTGCTTCTACAGGGCTCTGGCGCACTGCCCGCGGGCTGCGGCATACACACACACACGTTCACTGTCGTCTCGTAAAAGGGTAACGGCCGTGAACAGGTTGGGGCTGGGAGCAGCAAGCCCTCCCTTTGCAGAGAAGCAGGTGGAGGCTCGAGTGCCCCGAGCCTTGATCGAGGACACGCAGGGCGGGGCGGGGCCAGGTCCCCGTCGTCACCCGCCTTGTGCCCGAGTCACGCGGGTTGGGCCTGTCGAATCTGTCTGGCAGATTCGTGCCTGCTGCCGTCCGCTCACCCCAATGCCCTGCCCTCCACCTGCCTCGTCCTGCTCAGCGCCGACACACTCGTGACCTCCAGACAGACACCCGCTTGGAGTCAGTCCATACCCCACACCTGGGGCCACGGGGAGCAGGATGGGGCCGGGATTGGGGCGCACATACACAACGGGGCCCTCAGGACAGTGTCACCCGCTGCACCCGCCGCGCCCGCCACGCCCGCTGCACCCTGTCCAGTCTGTGCCCTCTGCTCTGCCCGCCCTGGGACCGAGGGAGGAGACCGTGTCCAATAGACAAAGATGTGCCGGGGCCTCGCGGCACCCCTGGACACCCCGTCTCCGGGGGCCGGAGGCAGGAAAGTCTGATAAACCACACCCCTCCACTCTGTGGCAGGGAGCAGGGAGGAGGAGGTGGGTTTGTTGGGATGGAAGACACACCCCCCCCGGGCCACCTGTGCTCACACGGGCATTGGCCCCTCCTGCCTCGGGGGCTGAGGGACCAACGTGATTCCAGCCACCTTCACTCGGGGCCCGTCCAAGCCACTGGAGGACGCGCCCAGGAACCGGAAGCTCTGGGGTTTCTGGAAGTGAAGCACAGCCCAGAGACCAGCCCCGCTACTCAGTAGGGGCCTCAGTGCGCCTGTGGGGACATCAGGCCGCACTGAAAAGATCACACCAGGGCCGGAGAGACCCCTGCACCGGAGCCCGCCGTGAGCCCCTGTTCCCAGGGTGCGTCCCCCGTGGGCCGGGCCCTGCCGGCCGGCTCCTCTCCCAGCAGGACCAGCCCAGCTGCAGCCACCCAGTCCTCGGCCTGTGGGTCTCAGGGCCCTGCCGGCCCACAGAACCTCCCCAACCCCACCCCCCCAGGGCAGCCAGGGGGACCCCACAGCCTCCTTACCTGCAGGCTGCTCCACAGCCCCCACCGTGGCCTGTCTGCCCCCCACACCCAGGCGTGACCATGGGCTGGGCCGTGGGTCTCATGGTCCAGCCGTGGGGTGGGCACTGCCGCCCTGTGCTCCTGCGGGCAGGGGTTCCCCCGCCCCAACCGGGTGAAGAGGCGGGAGGGGCCGAGAGCCACCCGGACACGGGCTTCCCCACCACCCGGCAAACCCATTGGGCTTCCCTTCCCTGTCGTGGAACCATCCAAACAGCTCAGATTTCAAAGTTGAAAAAAACACAGCGATGATTGGATCTGAATGGGACAATCCACAAACCCCACATGAATGGAGCTCTGAGTCTTGGGCCCCCCCCCCGCCCCCCGCCCCGGCACTGGAGCCAACTTGGGCCAGAACCCGCGCCTGGGAGGGGAGACGGGCTCCCGCACTTGGAGGACGGAGGACACGGAGTCCCACAGGCCACGGGACGTCCCCCGATCTCGGATCTCGATTTCGGGGTGCCCAGAGCGGGGCCCGGTCCCTCCCCTCCGCGGGCGCTGATCAAAGCGGGTTCTCGGGCGCCGGTCTGCCGGTCCATCCCCTGCCGGGCCTGCCGTGAAGGGAACAGAGGCTCCTTGTCGCGCCGCGGTTTCCAGGGCTGCGCTGGCTGCGTGCGCCGCCGCCCGGTCCCCTGGCCGGCGTCCAGCCGCGGACAGAGGGGGCCTGTGTGTGGCGGGCGCTGGGCGGACGTCACGGCGCAGCCCGGCGGGAAAGTGGGGCAGCCGCTCACCGAGCTCGGGCGCGTCTGAATGCGCCTTGCTTTTTCCAAAGTCGCCGAAGTGCCGGCCCGCCGGGAGCTGGGTGCGCGCCGCGGCGCAGTCGGGGTTAACCGACGCGCGAGGGAGGAGGCAGCGGCGGTGGACGCCTTCTTCCCTCGCTCTGCTCTCCTCCAACAGAGGCCAAACCCCGCTCGCTCTGCAGACCCGCGTCTGGCTGAGAACGGTCCCTCCCGGTCAGCCCGGAATAATCCCCGTGCCGACAGCTGAGCCCCGCGCAGGGCCGGCTGCCGCGGAGGTGCCCACGCCGCCAGCGCGGCCCGGGGGGACGGCGGGTTCTCCAGGGCTGCGGCCGAACGCGCGAGGCCGCTGCGGGCCGGAGCCGGGACCAGGCGCACAGAGACGCCGTTGCCCAAAATGACCTAGTTACTGTTAGAAAAACAGTTTCACTTTACATTTTAAAACACAACTGAAAAAAACTCAAAAAAAAAAAAAAACTGAAATTAAAGCAATATAAAACCACAGTTTCCTTGTCGGATGGAATAAACCTAAAAACATAAATTCAGGACTAAATTACTCTCCCTTTCTCGCCCCCCCCCAGCCCCCGCCGGGCGAGACCCAGGGCACGCTGCTTCCTCCCTGTCCCCGCTCGCGGGCACACGGGCTTGTCCCTGTCACTTCGACTTCCCAAGGGACGCCTCATTGTCCGTCTCCTCCACGTGCCAAAATCCACCCCATCGCCTACAGAGGTCCAGGGGCCCCGCCGGGAACCCCTGCCTTGGAATTCCCCGGACTCTGCACCCCGCTTTGGGCGCCTCCAAACCCCACCCTGCCCAGCTGCGGCAGTGGCTGCACCCTGAAGCCACAAATGCCGGCAGCTCTTGGTAATTAATGCGACTCAGCTCAGTATTTGATGTATTATTGCTCAAAGCTTTGTGTTATCACTCTCTTCCCTTGCAGAGGGGATTTTTCAGCATCTCGCAATTCCAAAATAAAAATTCTTCTGGGCTGTGGGTCCACCCAGGTGCTCCTTGGGAGGCCATTCCTGGATCTCCAGGTAGGTGACCTGCCTGCACCGGATTTGCCCGACCTCCAGCAGGGCAGCGCCAGTCCACACGCTCAGCACCACCCCCACCCCACCCCACCCCACCCCGCCCCCCCACCTGAGTCCCCCCGCACGTGGCCTGGTCAGACCCTCCCTCCGGATTCGTGTCCCACCCGTGGGCAGGCCATGTCCGTGCATAGCTGCCCAGCATTGTCCCTCCGTGTTCCCAGCCTGCGTGTTTCTCTTGTGTGTCGCCTGCCCGTAGGCTCTGCCTAGCTCCGGTTGTGCTGCTTTCCTGTATGTTTCCCTAAAAATAAAACAGGGTCTTATATTTATTTTTCCTCAAGAAGGCGCCCTAGGGCTTATTTTCAGGGGATGTGCTATTTTTTTCAAGTACGGTACAACAATCTACATTTATTCAGATATAGTTAAGTCGTCTTCTTCAGGAACATCATCATAGTAAAATGGCAGCCACAGCGTTCCTCCTTCCCCCTGGGGACACACAACACCTAGAGCGGAGCGTCCGGCTCCTCACTGCACTGAGGAGACTTTCCCCTCAGAGCCTCAGCGTGTAGCACACACAGGACGGCCGGGACATGACGGGGGGAGCCGACCTTGTTGGTGGGGCCGCCCGCACCTTCCCGGTCACCTCTGGGACAGTAGCCGTCACGATGGGGCAGATGAGAAGGGCTGCTCGTCTTCTTTCCCTCTCCGCGACGACATGCACGGGTTGTGCAGGTGCGCTGCGTAGCCACGCCCATCACCAGGTCTTATTTTCGGGGTAGGGCTTCTATTGCAAAAATGCTTAGAAATCCTGCTAGGGCTTATTGTTCGGGTAGGTCTTACTTTCGGGGGAACACGGTAGGTGCAATTCCTTCACAAGTTACGGTAACTCTTTTCCACTTGTATGCATTGTAACTATGTTTCCCCCTAGTTTGTAGCTTTCATTTCCAGCTGGTTTACAGTGACTTTTACAATGTTACCTTATTTAAATGTATCAATGTTTTCCTCTATGATGTGTGCATGTGTGGGCTTTTCTGTCCCAAAGTCATTAAGATAATCTCCTATTTTTTAACGTTAAGGTTACATTTTTCACATTTTACCTCTCATTAATCTGGGAGGTTTTTTTTTTAACTGTGGTAAAGAAAATGAATGCGAAAGTTGCCATTTTAACCATTTTTAGGTGGCCACATTGGTGGCAATAGCCACGTCCACAGTGTCACGCACTTGTCACTTCCGTGCATCTCCAAAACCCACTGCAAACAACTTGTTCGCTCGGTGACCCCCCTCCCCGGTGCCGGGGCTGTCCCTGCCCGGTGGGGTCCACAGCACTGTGAACGCAACAAAGAAGAGAACGCAGGAAGTGGCCGCACTGAGCAAGAACAGGTGGCTTTTCAGAGCTCATCCCAGCCAGCGTCTCATGCTGGTGGCTCGTGCTGCGGTGCTCGCCGTCCACACCACGCTCTGAGGAGGATGACGCAGCCGCCCCCAGCACGGACGCGCAACGTGGGTTTGTTGGCACCGACCGTTTGGTAACGTTTCTTTCTGCTTTGCGGCGCCCTGCCCTCACGGGCTGACCCATCTTCCAGGGGGCTTTGCTGCCCTGGGGAAGCGCCGCCCCGGACCCCACCGGGCACGGTTCCCTCCAGCCCCTGAGCCCCCAGACAGGTCCAGTGTCCCTCAAGAAGGCAGCAGGGAGCACAACACCTGGTGCTTCCTCCTCAGGGGCCAAGAGAGCGCGTGGCAGGTGGGCGGGTGGCCCCAGGTCTGGGGGAGGAGACGGGAGCCCGCCCAGCAGAAGGTCACCCTTGGTGCGATCTGCACCAGAAGTCCATGCCCAGCTGAGACAAGCACGCACACGCCTCGTGCTGCTAGTCCCAGCTGCCCCGTATCGAGAGCTCTCCACAAGCCGCACCTGTGCCAGGGTTGGCATCAGCACAACCCGCAGCGGCCCTCAAGACGGGTCTTGTTATTAACCCCTTTTGTGTCTGGGAAACCAGGACTCAGAGCGGAAACAACGCGCCCAAAGTCACCCCAGTGCTAAACGACAGCGCAGGGACTCTCGCCCGGCCCCTCTGGCCGCAGGGTGCTGACGCCTGCCCCACGCCCCACGCCCCACACCCCACACCCCACACCGGGGCTCCGGGGATGGCCCAGCACAGCCGCGGAGCAGAGCGCAGCCTCGTCTGAACTCCAGCCGCCACGCACGGGTCCTGGGGAAGTGTCTCCTCTGCACGAGAAGCACGTGTGGGTCTCGAGGACTTATCAGCTCAAACGTCCAGAGGAAGAATGGAGGGTCCATCGCGGCGGGCCCACGTCGTTCCGGACGGTCTGTGGATGAGGAAGGAACAGTCAGGTCACAGAGAAGGGGCTCAGTCGTCACAGGCAGAACATGCTGCCTCTTCCTAGGAATCAGAAATATTCCAACCTGGAGTTCTACTGAAATACGTTAAATCGGCAGTGCTTTTTGTGGTGGTTTAGTTGGTAGCTGAAAGCTGAAATACCCAGCTTTTTGTACAAGGGCCAAGGTTTTGCACAGCCACAGCCATGAGGAGGATGCCTCCCAGTTCAAAGGTCTTGTTCTACGAAGACAACTCAAGTTTCCAAGTCTCGTCAGTGGCCCATCATCAGAGGAGGGACAGAAGCAAGGAGAAAGGTGGCAGAGAGGAGGGACGGCTCCCAGTCCTAAGCACACAGGATGCACAGGTGACTCGGATGTTGCCACTTATTTTTACTCTCTTGACAAACCTGAGATACCTGGAGAGGCCCGTTTGCGATCCAAGATCCCAGGCTTAAACACAGGGTGACTAATTCTCCAACCCTCATAAAAGAATCCGTGCTTTATGGCTCACCCCAGCCTCTCGAGCTCCACTGAGGACTCGGGGTGCTCCTGCCTGCCGGAATTCCCACTGGTTCCGGGAAAGACCATTGACTCCGGAAAGCAAACACCAGGCACTAGATAAGCGCTGATAAGGTAGTCAACAGGCAAGAAGCACTTGCTGTGCGTCAGGCTGCTTCTGGGAACTGCGTTCACTCTCCGAACTTCACAGAAACCCTCCAGATAAGTTCCAGCTCGTCCCTATTTTACAGGACAAAGGGAAGCAGAGCAGAGAAAAGCAAGTCACCTCCCCAGGTCACCGGCGGAGCCCACGGCCCCAACGGCCTGTGCCATCGCCTGCCCAGGTCACAGAGTGTGACTTGCATGACAAGAAGGGGCTGACTGTGCCCACCTGACCCAGCTTCAGAATCACTGCTGGCTACAAGCAGGTGTCTTGGATAATTCTTTAGTTCTGCATTGCTAAGGCATCGTTGTGAAACAACATTGCCTGCATAAATGTCTGGCTAAGAGAACAGCTTACAGCAAAACTGTCTGCTCAATCAGAGCAGATTGGCACAATTAAATGGTATGTAGGTAAATATTTCATTTTCAGCTTGAAAAATACCACTGCAAAAAACTGGGTGCATTCTGGGTTGACACTGTGCTTTCTAAGTGATCTTTCCAGAAACACACCGACATACTGAACTGTACGCTGTTTGCACCCCAACTGACACAAGCAGTCAGGGCCACAAACCCAGCTGTGTTCACAAAATCCAGCCCAATGTCCTCCCTCAGGCACAAGCGCCGATGCCTTCCTGGGTGGGTGTGGGAAGGGCCGTGTCCTCTGTGTGGAGTCTTTATAACCAAGTGGTTTATGAAACGGCCTCCTCGACTCTCACCGAGAGTAGCACGAGGGCTGTGCGAGCAGGTGATTCTTGTTCTGTTATCAGCGACCAAGTGCTTCCGCTCAAGATGACTTCCCTGTTTGCCAGAGCAAGGACTCCTTGCACAAGCAAACCCTCTGGGCTGCTCCAGCTCGGGTGTCTGTGCACCTGTGCTGAGATGCAAACAGGACAGGTATGTGTGCAGGTGCAGGTGTGTGTGCAGATGCAGGTGTGTATGCAGATGCAGGTGTGTAGGCATGGGTGTGCAGGTGCAGGCTGTGTACAGGAGCAGGTATGTGTGCAGACAGGTGTGCACATGGCAAGTGTGTGTAGGTGTGGGTGTACAGGTGCAAGCGTGTGTGCAGGTACAGGTGTGTGTGCAGGTGCAGGTGTGTGCAGGCATGGGTGTGCAGGTGCAGGGTGAGCACAGGAGCACTCACAGCTTCACCACCCAACTCATCCACACCTTCTGTGTACACTCACTCCCAGGGGTAGGTGAGGGTGGATGTGACACCATCCAACCGGGTGACAGGCCCCACCAAGGAGCCACACCCATGGTCATGTCCCACCATGTCCCCAAGACAGAGGCAGAGAGAGGGAGGGAGGCAGCAGGGAGAGAGGGCACAGCCTCACACATTTGACCCCACTTCCACGTGGCACGGTGTGGTAAGACGTGGGCTAGCATTACTTAGTATAAGGATTTATGTAACGAAATATTTCTAGAATAAACTTTTCGATTCTCCAAATGAGTCTATTTTCTCAGACCATGGATATTATGCAACCAAACTGTCCTGGGAGTTTGAGCCAAAGCGGCATCCTTAAGAATCATCTACCATCTCCTGGGGTTGTGCTGGGCCTGCATGCCCTGGGAGAAGGTTCTGGGGTGTCAGACCACCAGGGGGCGGAGGGCATCCCGAAGGAGGAGCAGGGTGGGCTTCGGCCCGTGCCCCAGCCCCCACCATCGGCAGACAGGAAGGCATGGGGCCCAGTGGGGGGACCGAGGAGAGGCCGCAGCCACGGGGCTGGACACCAGGCATCCTGGGTCCCCAGGGGACAGTGGTGACTCCATGGCATGGGGACAGGGCCAGGGGCCAGGCAGAAAGGTCCCACGAAAAGTGGGACGAGGAACAAGCCTGGGGCTGAGGGGCAGCAGGCCGGTGTGTCCAGAGGGGCTGGACGGGGCTTTCTAGTCCCTCCACGGGGTGCAGGCCCCGACGCCTCCTCCCTGGGAGCTCTGGGGCATCGTTTTCTTCCCAGAGTTGTTTTACAGCCCAACACTGACGCCGCAGCTCCAGCCGTTACATCCACCATCCAGCCAGTAGGAAGTTACTCTCCCTTTCAGGCACTTCCCGGAAGCCCCAAAACCTTGTGCTTCTGTCCAGCTTGCTGGCAGGACTCAGCGGCATAACCTCACCTGGAGGCCAGGTGGGCTGGGACGTGCAGTCTTCCCCCTGGGTGGCCGTACTTCCAGCTGACACATGCAGGTGAGGTGAGGACAGATGTTGGGAGATGCCCCAGGCTCTGCCCAGACCCGACTTTTCCCCACAGTTCTCTCCTTCCCAACCAAGGGAGGGCTCTGCCTCTGCAACTTCTTGGAGGAAACGCTTCTCACCCCGGATCCCTTACGAGCGACAGAGATGCTATAATTAACCACACTAAGTTTTTAGAAAATATAGCACTAAACCTGCTTTTAAAAGAGGAGACGCGACTTCCTCGTTGGACCGGCAGACGCTGGGGCTTGTGCGGGTCAGGAAAGGAGACGCCCTGCCCCCAAGACAGCCCCCACGACAGCCCCCAAGACAGCCCCCACGACAGCCCCCACGACAGCCCCCACGACAGCCCCCGTGACATCCAGGCCCCGGCCGGCTGCTCCCTGCTCCCAAGCGTGGGGAAAAAGACCGACACAGCGTTTTCAAAGCCAGCTGGAAAGAGTCACTGCAGGGAATCTTTCCCTGAAAGATCACTCTTTGAGAATACTTGTTTTCATATTTGTGCTATTTTCGACGTTTTGGGAAGCAAAGCTGCACACACATTTGTTCTGCGAACCCAAAGTGTGAAGAGAGATGCAGCAGACACTCGTGGCAGCCCGTGGATTCCAGCCGTCCTCGACTTCGTAAGGACCCGCGCGGAGATCTCCGCTGGGGCTGCTGCTTCCTGCTGAGCTCACCTGCTCAGCGTCAAGGATGAGGGTCCTCACAGCCACCGAGGGGGGACACTGCGCTCCCATCTGGGACCCGGGAGCCTGCATTCCCACGGGCGTGGCCTGGGATGGTGCCGACGTGACGTCCACGTGTCCGAAACACTCGTGTGGCTATCGGATGAAGTCAGAGCTGCCGGATGAAATGTAGAAACGACGTCAAGTACCTGGATCCTTAGTTCACGTCCAATGCCCTGTCGTTGGGGAAGATGATTTTCTCTGGACGACAAGAGCGGCACGGTCAGGCCCCCTCGGGATGGCGGCTGCAGAGGTGATGCCGCAGGGCGGCGTCCGTCTGGGAATCCTGACCAGTGGCCGAAAGACCCCTGGATGGAGGGGACAAGACGGAGCCAGGCCGTTGCCTTCCCTCCTCCATCCTGGCTGTGACCCGTGCCTCAGTTTCCCCTTCTATAAAATGGTTCTCCCTCTGCCATTCGAGGCGCCTTGGAAACTGCTCTACACCAAGGAGATGAAACTTCCCGTAAGGTGCACGCAGAGTGCACGGGTGCTGAGAGCCGTGTGCACCCCATGGGGCGCAGCGGCAGGCCCGGGCCCGTCTGCCAGGTGTTGGGGTCCAGAGCAAGGGAAGTGGCAGCGGGAACGGCAGTGGGAACAGCAGGGGCGAGAGCCCTGAGGCCAGAGCACACTTCCCAGGCTGGGAGTGTTACCAACCTCACGGTCCTTGGTCCCCGAGTCAATAGAAATTGGCACAAGACTGAAAAAGGAGGAATTTATACCGGCAAGGCGTCATGGGGGCGGGAGGATGGGGGGAGCCCAAACAAAAGGGGAGAGGGCCGCTAAGGGGGACCAGACTGGCTGTCCGAACAAAGGGCTGGGAACTTCCAAAGGGCAGAGAGAAAGCCCGATGCCGGCACTGAAGCCCTGGCATGCAGAGACGAAGTTCTGTTGGCAGCTGCCCCCCTGTCGACCACGCTTCTTCACACATCGCACGTCTCATTGCCACGTTCAAGCTCCACCGTGGGCTGTGACTTTTAGCATTAAAACAGACCAAAAGGTCTACGAGTGTTCAGCTCTGGGCTTCATGCTGGCAGCAGCCAGCATGTGCTGCTCCGACTGGGCGGGTGGGCCTGCTCGGGTGGTGGCCTCGTCCCGTTCCAGAGAGCAGAGCTGCCTTCCACTGACGCAGCTGTCAGTCATTTCCAAAGCTTCCGTCAGCATCGTAAGCTGGCCGGAGCTTTGGCTGGAGGCTGAGGCTGGAAGCCCAAGTCCACCTCCTGTGGGACCTCCGGCAGACCCGCAGGGAGGGCCGTGGGGAGGGCGGCAAAGGTCCTGAGGCTGCTCCCTGCGGGCGGCGGTTGGCAAGGCTGCCGCGGTCTTGCCAGGGGAGGCCCCGTCCAGCCCGCTGACATTTGGGAGGGTCCCTCCGGGCTCAGAGGTGGGAGCACAGGGCAGAACCAGGGCCGGCCAGGGGTCCAGAATAACAATGAATACAAATATGGGAAATGTTAGTGGGGGGGAAAAGAAATTATTAAAAATAACCCACTGAAGACAAAAAGAACTGAGAAATAACAATATCCGAAAATAGCAACCTACTTAATTGGCTTCACAGCTGAATGGCAAGACAAAGGAATCAGCATTGATCCACAGAAGTAGATCATCAGAAATTGTCCGCTGAAAAGAATAAAGAGGGAAAACATTGACAAAACTGAGCAGCCCCTCAGGACCCTGTGGGGCAATAGCGACAGGTGTAACATCCATGCGGGGAGCTCCGGAAGAAGGAATGAGAGAACACGGGCAGAAACAGTACCGGAAGAAGCAGCAGGAGGTAGTTCCACGGATGTAGTGGAAGACACACATTTCCAGACTCGGAAGCTCAGGAAGTACACGAGCAGGATATACACCAAGAAAACCACAGTTAGGAAGATTAATGTCAAACTGCTGAAGGCCAAGGGTAAAGAGACAATAGATCACAGCCAGGTGAGATGGCACATTCGTACACAGCGACATGGACCCCACCCACCACTGACTTCTCATCACAACGTGCAGACGCCAGGAAACGGGGCCACATTTCAAAGAGCCAAGAGAAAATAAATTGCCGGCCTCGATTTCTAAAACCATGAAAATATTCCTCAATGAATGAAAGCAAAACAAAGATTTTTTTTAAAAGAGCAAAGAATTCATTTACAGCAGGCATGTGTTAATACTGTGAGAAATGTTAT